TGTCGTTGCAGCCGTCTGTCTGTGCAGGGAGTCTCCTGCCCTCCCTTGCCCTTCCTGTAGGCAGATATCGGGCCACGCACGGCCTGTGCTTTTCCTCGGTGACCTCCACACCTCATGAACCTCTGGGTAGGTTGATTCTGCCTCCCCTTTCAGGAAAACTTGCGCTGGAATTGCTGACGGAACCAATTAAATGTTTACTATAAGCCATGGTGTCTTCTCATCATCTGCGAGGAGCTCTGGTAGGTGTCCGAGGCGGGGCCAACGTGGTCCTGTGCTTCCGGAGCTGCTTCTCAGGGAGGGCCGCCCGGTGGCGGAAGGAACGCCTGTGTAACCAGGGATTCGGGACATCAGTGTTTCTACCTCCAGATAAGGATTCATACCAGAGTCCTGAACCGGCCCGTGCAATTCCTACTCGGGGTAGAAAACACTTGGAGCTGTGAAACGATGCATTAGGGCTGCGACTGCCTGGACAAATCGGGCCTAAACTAGGGAACTGCTGATACACTTGGGGGAAAAACACGTGTAAGATGGGGTTAATGCCCTGCCTGGCTCACTGCCCTCCAGAGTGTGGGACATTAGGGTGAATGTGACAGTTAAGAACCCAGGTTATGGAGGCATATCCACAGGGGTCCAAATCTTCACACTGCCACACTTCGAAGTATTTTTAAGTTACTGATTTTAGAAACACCCATTTGTTGATGCATTCATCGGTTGATTCCTGTATGTGCCCTAACCCAGCTGGAACCGGCAACCTTAGCAATCGCCAAGCTCTAACCAGTTGAGTGACCCGGCCAGGGCTCTACACTCCCCCACTCTTGTGTAATCTTGGGCAAAAGACCTCTTCACTCAACAAATACTTGGCAGAGAGCCTACTAGTAGCGGGCATTAAGGCGCTGGGGGGAGAGTGAACAAAACACACTGAGTCTTTGCCCTCGCAGCCTCAGTTTCCCGGTTTCCCAGGGCAGCGTGCGGTGATGGCAGTGGGGTCCTCCCTGGCAACCCAATTGCCTCAGCCCCTGACTCCCAAGTCACCAAACCGCAGCCAGCACCGGGCGCCAGCCACCCTTGCAGGCTTTCAAGCTTCGCTTCCGGCTTCCACGCCTCGCTTCCGGTCTCCGTGCCTCGCTTCCGGCCTCCGCCTTCCGCTTCCGGCCTCCGCGCCGCGCTTCCGGCCGCTCACTCCTTCCTTTTGCCTCTCGATGGTGCGCGGGCTGCAGTTCCCCCGGCC